AAGGAGCAATTGACTGCGTCCACCATCCTCATTAAGAACCAGCTTATAAGTTCCTGCTTACAGGATGACCAACAGGTGGGTCGTGCTTTGACTCAGTCAGACTCAGCTTCCGTGAGAGGAGCACTTTTGTTACTGCACAGGCAGATGCCACGTATGAAAAGAATATGGGATGGCCTGATATTAACAACACCAAAATGTTGGCTAATATAGTACTGATGACTAATTTTTCTAGAGCTTTTTCTCTTGGGGTTAAGACATAGATCAGTACAAAGATAAATACAAATCAATGCAAAGCTAAATACAAGGATAATTTCTAAAAAGTCTGGTGCCGGTTCTGAAATCACTTTTATATAAACTGATTTATCTAAAGTGATGTAAAGTGATTTGCTATGCAAATATTGAGTTGCATTTTTGCCTTTGTAAGAGGCAAGGGCCCTTGTCCAATTATATCTCTAATACTACCTTGAAAATCGTTCCTACAAAGATACTGCTTGGCTGGTTTGTTTTACTTTTTAAAAACAAATATTTTCCTTTCCTTTCCTTGCCAAGTAGAGAGTACCAGAGTCCAGTTTTGTCCTTTATGTTTTTGTGCTGTTTATGTTTTTGTCATTATGTTCTGTGGCTGTTTCCATTTCTAGCCAGTTGTATTGATTGCACTGGTCAGTCACAGTATGCACGCTCCATGTTCGTCTTTTTGGAAGGAATAAACAAGTGCATCTTGAGAGGGCCAATGAGAGCTGTTCTCTGTAGGACGTGTATGTTGATTAGGACTTAAGTCTCAGGGTGACTCTTGTGACACTCATGTTAAAAAATGACAAGAGGGATGGCAGTGATTGGTCTTTGGCTAAAAGACACTGCCATCCTTCATCTTCTCTTTTTATTTATTTCCTCACATTCCAAGTCTTCTCTCCAAACCCAGATGCTCTGATGCCCAAAGCCCCGACAGGCATCTCAAGCTGTTTCTGTTACTCAGCCTTGTAGACCTGCCCCCTGACCCCCACTCCCCCAGCCAATCCATCCCTTCTCATAAACCCCAGGGCTTGCCCTGTAGAAAAAGGCTACTGATCCCCGGCATAAATCTCTGTAAGGAAAACAGGCCTGTTATCAAAGAAGAGAACTCAACCTTTTACCAGCTGCTCCTCTCCTGGCGAGTTCCTTCACTCCTTTGAAATGCAGCTGTTTCTTCCTCATGTTGGGGAGGTATCTCAACCCATCCAGCCCTCTGCCTAGAAGGTGGCTCCACTGTTGGGTCTGAGGTAGAAAGGGCAAAGGATGGAAAGGTGGAGATAGTCAGCCCTGGGCTGTAGTTCCCTCTGAGAATGTGGATCGGTTAGGATCTCTGAAGTCAGTGTCAACAAGGGCGGCTGTCAGGTTCATGTGGCTTGGGTGACTAGCCAGGTACCTGGCACCTGGCCTCCCTCCCCAAATGCCTACAGAGAAACAAGGAAGGTGTTCTGTGCTTAGCATCAACAGCTGACAGAGAGCCATCCTGCACTCAGAGGCTGTTCAGAGTGGCCCCTGCCTTCCACCTGGACTAATCATTTCTCCCCTGCAATGTGACGATGATGTCTGCCTCTGGGTGTTTGTAAGGCTTACGTGACAAAGGTTTCCCCAAGCAGTAGGAGTCAGGCCCGGGCTCCTCTATACTCCAGCACCTACTTCCAGTAAAAAAAATTCTCTTCCCACCTGAAGAGTTAGGTCACCCGCACCTGTCACTGCCTCCCTCATACAGTCCTTCACAATAAAGGGAGAGGACAAAATAGATGATGGGCCTAAAAGCCTCAGAAACGTCCTATCGTGTGAAACAAGCACAGTGACATTCCTGGTATTGGTCAGCATCTCTTAGCTCTGTGGCGTAGCTTATTAATGCATATTTTCTTACTGTCTAATATATTTTTGTTACTTTTTCGGTTAATATGACAAATTTGCAGAAGTTTTCTTGCTATTCATATAGGATTAAACTAGCCAGCTGTCTGTACTCTTAGGTCATAGGAGTGCTTAGAAAACACCCACTAAAACTTTGGTATCTACTGAAGCTGTCTGAATTTCCATAAAGGATCCTGCCTCCCTATTCTTGAAGAAGTTAGTTATACTTGGTAGCGCTCCAGGCTGTTATCAGTTCCTCTAACCTCACTGCTTATGAGTTCAGCTCTCTTGGGTGATTTATTTTTCATGAGATGGGAAGCAGTGGACACCCACGTGGGCAGCCTCACATCTTGACCTAGGCTTTTCCCACATATCAGTGTCTTTATCAAAGTTATGCAATTCAGAGAAACAAAAATCCTGGTGTGGGACAGGACCTCCCAGACACTGTAGCCATAACCATCCTCTGGTTATTCCTTCCTGAGTGCCCGTGCAGTCCCTGGGAGGGGCTCGGACACCTTACCACCCAGGCCTCTCATGTTTCCTATGGGAAACTGAGACCAAGAGAAGATGCCCATGGGTCACAGTGACAGGAGCAGAGAAAGCTCCAAGTCCCCAACAGTTGCAGGACACTGACTCGGTCACCCAGCTAAGAGAGTTCTCTCCCAAGGACACAATGCTTCCTCCACTCCCCCAGGGCAGTGTTCACTGTGAGATGTGCGGCCATGATTTCCTGTTACTCTTCTGAGGCGAGCCCGAGGCGCTCATTTGGTTTCAGGTGAGAGATGTCCTGGCATTCAGCGCTGTGAGCTGAGAAGTGGAGTTGGAATAAGTATATAACTAACTAAAACTTAAACTAGGCGTAGCCACTGTGCCACATGTCTTCCAAGGGTCATCTCCCCTTAATCTCCCTGCAAGGAAGATTAGATCTCACAAGAAACTGCATTTTCCAGAGGAGGCCAAAAGGAATACGAAGTAGTTTTTCCATTGTCACATAGGCATTTACATGGTAAGTCTTGAGACAAAACTCAAGTGGTCTAGCGAAACTATTCTTCATACTTGGCACGTGGTAGGACAAAAACAAAGCAAGGAGTTGTTCAATACAGAGACTCGGCAGTCACCCAGGCACGTGGATCTGCATGCTTACACATGCACACACGCAGTGCCTGCATGATAACCTGGTTCTTTAAGCCATGTATGGGAGTACTTGCCCCTGTGCACGGAGACCATGTGTCTAATGGCTAGGCACTTTGGCCCTTTGACTTTGTCACCTTGGTTGGGGGAGGTTTATTACAGGGGAAGAGAGGGGCTGTCTTCACAGTATCCTGTTAAGTAGGAACGCCTCTGGAAATGCCACTTGGGTCCATTTTTATTTTGTAAGGGAAGTAGCACTGAATCAGTGCCTAAAACTCCAGAGTCTAGGCCTGGTTTTTCATGGTGATTGATGGTGAGGGCTTTCTGAGCCCTCAGAGTCCCCAAGTGGAAAGTGAGTTCTGGAAGCCCAGTGGCCTCTGAGTGGACAGTCCTGAGCTTACTCTAGGGACCATCCTTGGGACTCATCAGGCATGCACCCACCTGACTGGCCGGTCACAGCACAAGTTTGGGCGGGGCATGGAGACCAGTGGCAAGGGGCAGGGCCACTGTCTTCCCCCACCCTTTCCATCTGGTGGCTGCAAAAGCTTCAAGCAGGTTCCCAGCCAGGCACACTAGTGCCTAAAAGCTGCTGCTCAGCAGCAGGAAGTGCAGGCTGTGTACCCACCCGGGCTATGGTAGGCAGCCAAGAGAGCCAGGAAGGGCTATTTGGACTTCAGAAAAGGATTCTCTGTTCCAGTTGGAGAGCCTTCCTCTCTGGAGACCCCTGGGGATGGAAGTACTTAGGAGAATGACCCAGGTCAGCAAGATGCCCCCCTGGGGGAGGGGGCGGGGGAGTAGGTAAGAAAGAGAAGAGGACAAGTGGGGAAGAAGGCGGTGGGGCAATATCGCACTTCCAAGAGCAGCCTGGGACTTTAGCCCAGTGACAGACCAGTCAGCCTCCAAAGCCCCCGGGGGCTCCTAGGAGGGGTCCCTCGGCTTGTGGACCTTCTCTGTCTGATCCTTCCCACAGACCCCCCCCCCCCAACACTGGTAACAGCCCAGGAAATGCACGGTGCACCGTGCTGTGGCTTCTGACTCAGGTGATGATTTGGGAGTTCATATCCTTCTGCCTACTGACTCACACTCCTCCACTAGGAAGCTGCTAGACTTCCTTGTTTGCATAACAGTGCAACTTCAGGGTCCTTCATGCACAGCCCTAAATCTGTGAGGCCCCCAAGAGACTCCTGTACCGCACATTTTTTGTGATTTGGTGGCCTAGCATAGCCCAGCCTGAGCGCCCGTTCCCCAGTATTCGCTCAACAGCTGGGTGACAACAGTCCCCCGTCACGTGAGATTACAAGGTGCCCGCATAGACCCTGGTGGTAGAGAATCCTGAATTCCAAACACACCTGGTCCCCGGGATGTCAGCCCAGACGCGGGAATCCGGCTTACGCATCCCTTACGAAAGAAATTGATTCATGAATGTGTTCTACTCTTATGAAAACAGGACAAAGCCAAGGTTGGCAGCAACCCTTGCAGGGAGCTCTGTAAGCTCCCCGGGCATCTGAGTGCTCCCCTAATGTAGGACTTTGGGGGAGACGGAAATGCAGATCCACACCTTTGGAGCCATTTGCGAACATGCCCACGGGCTCTGGGGTGGCGTGGTGTATTGCCCTCCCCCACGCGGCAGCTCTGCAGCTGTGCTGGACTCGCAAGGCCACAGCGCCACCTTTCCTCCACGTTTGGCATAGCCATCGACCTGGGCGCGCAAGCAAGGACAACCTGCAAAGAGGGCCAGAAAACGCGTTTGCTTCTCTTTGGTCCCCCCAGCAGTGGCATGGGTAGCCTAACCTCGGCTCAGGGCGCGCGAGCTGTGAACTCTGTGTTTGATCGGCCTTGCCCTGAGTCGTTGTACACCCTGGGTGTTTTACGCGGCGCTACGCTGCAGCACTCGGTGTAAGGGCTTTCCGTTATGGACTGAAGGTGTTCTTGCAGCCACTGAAACTTGAGCAATGTGCGTGCACCGTCTCAGTTGAGATTTGTTCTCTCTCTTCAATTTTCAGTTGCAAATCAAACATGCAGTCACAGAGGCAGAGATTCAAAAATTGAAGACGAAGGTAAGCACCGCACCGATACACCGTGTTCTCATTGCACTCAGCTTCAGTCACGGTGGGTAGTTCGCCGCTGGGGACTTGTTCCTTCGGGCAGGCAAAAGAACACACACGTGAGGCTTATTTCCGCTGGCAGGTGCGTAGATCAGCCTGCCCCTGGGAGCAAGCCGCCTCCACCCGCCTCCATGCACACATTGTTTTAATACTTGCTTTAAACATGCGTAGGTGTTTGTGGATCTGTTGCCAGTTCCATCTGAGATTTCCTAAAAAAGATAGTATTCTTAGTGGTTCAAGTTGACGTGTTCTGATCATTGGTTCCACAAGCATATGCTATTCAGTGTTATCAGCCTCTCTTTATTTGCATTGGTAAGAATAGATTCAAAAATTTATTTTTCTTAAACAATATTCTGTCTAAATGTAGTACATTAATTGCTTTGATAGCAGCAATTCCAATTTGTAATTGTTACAAACTCAGTGCAATACATAGGTAATTGACTTCAGAGTCAAATTCACTAAAAGTTTTTAGACACTTGTAGTTTATATTACTTAACCTTTTCATAGAAAAAAAAATTTTGATGAAAGAGTAAAATTTTTTACTATCTGGATGTAAAATGACAGGATTCAAAAGCACATAATTAATTGGTGAATTATATCATGCATGAGACGCAGTTTCACTTGCATTCTTACTAAATACATCAGAAATTTTAATAATTGCATTACATTAAAAACAATGATTTCCTTTATTGTGTTCCACAATTCCTTTAAAATTCAAGTAGAATTATTCTCCCACTTGCTTGGCTTTGTTTTCATCTGTCTTAAATGGAGGTTTGTTAGGAAGGATGGCTGTGTTGGTGAGATGACACCGTTGGCTGGCACAGCCCACAGTGCTTCACTCGGAGCACATCCGTGCGTCTCTCATGGTGTCAGTCCAATTCTGGAACAGTAAATTTAAATTAGGAGTGGTTGGTAAATCCACAACTTGATTTTAAAATTTCTTAATAAAAGATACAGTAAAAAACAAACTATCTGTTTTAAATTGCTTTTTTTTTAACATAGAAAGGAAGAACAGAAGTTTTTTGCTTTTTTTTTTTAATTGCTAGTTATATCCAAGGAAAGGATCCCCGTGTGATTCAAGGTATTTTAATGGTGCTTCAATGTTATTCTATAAAGTTTTAATTTAGAAAATATAATAAACCAATATTTTGTTTTTCTTATTGTGATACTGACTTATACTTATCACAGATCAGCTTATTTTACTATTATTCTTTATTATCTGTGTTGATAATACAGTTACTAATTTCGAAATGCTTTGGCTACTTTTTTCTACTTTATAACCTGTTTTACAAATTTATTTACATAAAACGTATGCAGAAATATGTCTGTATATGCTTGTATATACATACATTCATATATGTATATGTATATAGCTACTGTATGATTTTGGAATGTCTTCTGGTTCATGGGAGGAATTTTAAACAATCAAGAAATGATTTACTTTTGAGCACAACTGTTTTTAAAACTTGCATGTGAATTAAGGTTTATAAGGCTCCAGGAATGCCTAACACTGCCTGTGAAATAATGAGCTATCAACTATGTTCATATCAATTGAAATAAAGAATGTAATAATATCTTCAAAAGGATTAAGTGTTACATAGCTAACCCTTCCCAGGTGATTATCATGCCCAGGGAGCTCTCCATGCATGCTGATACGTTGCATGAGACATCTGATGTTTCGTGACGTAACTGTCTCTTGAAGAGCCTTCCATTACCTGCCCGAGAGTTCATAGATAACAGTGACAGAACTGGGACTTAAATCTAACCACCAGGCATGACGTGCTTGCTTCTGCCCCCTTTTCCTTCCCTTCTCCCTCCCCGAACTTAAACATCTGACTTTAAAGACTCTCAGAGAAAATGTGTGGCTGCTCAGTGGATATATCCAAACTGTGAAACATCTTTCCCAGCCCGAGCAGTCTCAGAGAGAGCCCTGCCACAGTCACGGAAGCTGGAATCACATTGCTGTTACTGTCAGATGTGTGACCTTGGGTGGATCATTTCCTTTTCCAAAGCTTCCATTTTATCATCTGTAAAGTGACAGAAAGAATACTTGATCTTCTCAAGGTGTTTGATATTGAATATGTATAGCAAAGGAATTTAACCAAAAACAAATTATAACATGGGAGCCATTTTTGCAAGTGTCTAAATCACCTTTGCCTTTACCTTTGCCCTCTCCAGTTGCAAGCGGCAGAAAATGAGAAAGTGAGGTGGGAACTAGAAAAATCCCAACTCCAGCAAAATATTGAGGAGAATAAAGAGAGAATGCTCAAGTTGGAGAGCTACTGGATCGAGGCTCAGACACTATGTCACACAGTGAACGAACATCTCAAAGAGACCCAAAGCCAGTATCAGGCCCTGGAAAAGAAATACAACAAGGCCAAGAAACTGATCAAGGATTTTCAACAGAAGTAAGCAACTGTTAATGACCAGAGAATTATGATATGTGTCTAAAGTTGATACCATAACATCTGATGGACTAGGAAACGGTTACCCCTCAGAAGCACAGGTGCAGCGTCAGTCCATCTTGGGAGTCACTGACAGCATTTGCTCAGGGAACACAGACTTTCCTGGGCTTTACAGTGTCTTTTTTGACAACCAATTGCCACCATCACCACCCCACCTGACCCCAACCCGACCCCCAACCCCAGCCTTTTCTCTGAGAATCAACCATTACCATAACTCTAAAGCATCTGCTTTATCTCTGTGACTCAGAGGCAGGAAATCCTGCCAAAGTCATGCAGAATGACTGGCCCCTGCTTGGGGTGCGTTCCAGGGGAGCAGGGGAGGCTGCTTCTGATCATGGCTAACCGCAGAGCCTCCTCATCGCCTCGGGGTCCCAGTTGACATCTTGGCCCCTGGCCTGGCTCTCTGCATTTCTCAGGTGTTGAGAGTGATGGGGTCTCAGGTTTGCCACCTTGCAGGGCATCCTTCAACCTGCAGCAGCTCCTTTCTGAGCTCCTGCTCCTTCACTTCCAACTGTCGGGGTCTCGCTGTCTGCGGGTGAGCCTAGCCTTAGAGATTCTGGGTTTTGTTTTGTTTTGGTTTTTTGTTTGTTTTTTGGGTGTTTTTTTGCTTTTTGTTTTTCTGGTCAGTTCCTTGCAGTTCCAGCCAGAACCGGAGGGGGAAAAAAAAAAAAAGCCCTGCATGTTGGGACTTTTTCTGCTTCCGCTGCCAAGTTTTGGAAGCTGAGCATATGTGCAGCTGTTCACCATGTCTCTCTTGTTTTCTATCATAGAAATAATGCTGTCAATATTTAAGGGGGATTGCAATAGGAAGTTCATGACTCATATGAGAATAATTGCACCCCATAACCATGAATTCAGTATGTCACTATCTTGACTCCTTTTGCCAAAATTCTCATACCTAACTCCATATCATGTAATGATGTAAAAAAAATTATTGTTCCATTTGCAAATTCTACCCCATCTCAAAATGCAGGTATTTCTTTTCCTCCCCTTCTCCCCCAATATTCATGGGCCTAAGAGAGCTCATGTTGGTGTTTGGGACACATCCAGCCTGCCTCCACTATTGTCTGTCTAAGAAATCTTACTGTGGTTCTCTCTATGGAACCCTTGTCCTCCATTCCCACCAGCTGGCTGTGTGTCTGACATTAGAAATCTACCGTCATTTCTACTGACATCTGCTTATGTCCCCTGAATTTCCCAGTATGATCACTGGCATGGTAGCTCCTATATAAATAGGTATGGGTGTTCTAGAAGCAGCATCAACAAAAGAAAGTCATAATATGCAGAATCAAGGCCTTATTGTTTACTTTGTGACCCATTAAAGATATTCTATTTTCTTTGGCTACCATACACTTTTTCCATATGATTGAGTTTTGTTTATCTAATGGCTGTCCAGTTGTTTATCCCACTGTGCAGTTTATTGCTTCAGATAAGTGCTTTCTCATTTCCTTGTTTTCTGAGTGCTGGATACAATCAGCTCTATTATCTTCTTCTTAAGAGAGCTTGATTTCATCAAAAGACAAGAAGCTGAAAGAAAGAAAATAGAAGAATCGGAGAAAGCTCATCTTGTGGAAGTTCAAGGCCTGCAAGCACGGGTGAGTCGTGTTCTTGAAGTCACTGCACCGGGAGATGGCGTCCGCGGGCCCGGAGAGTGCTTGGTGGAGAAGATGCTGAATGGCTGTGTTTCCCCCAGATTAGAGATCTGGAAGCTGAGGTGTTCAGACTACTGAAGCAAAACGGGACCCAAGTGAACAACAACAACAACATCTTTGAGCAGAGAACATCGCTCGGTGAAGTCCCCAAAGGAGATACCATGGAGAACTTGGACATCAAGCAAACCTCCTGCCCAGATGGCTTAAGTCAAGGTTTGTCCAGCATAACCACAAAAATCATTTTGAATGCCTGTATGCTTCAACCTTGTGTTTTTGTCTTTTTTCTCATCCAGAGATTTGAAAGTTGGAAAGTGTCTTAAGGGAGACAAAAGGGGGGCATGAGGGCAGCGGCAAGGCCAATCCTCATAGAGGTCCATCATTTTAGCTGCTCAGTCATTAGTGCCTCAATGTAAAAAAATTACAAATATGTGGGATGGGCACTTTGGTGCAGCAGGCTGAGCCACCACTTGGGATAAAGTTTTTGGTCATGTCCAAAGGCTGATTGCCTCCTTCCATAGCTTAGAATTCATTGCCTCGTGTTGGGACCTCACTGTCCCATGTGTGCTTCTAGTACCTTCTTTCAGCTGCCAGAACATTGCAAACATTCTATGCTGTGAACGGTTATCTTGTTGCACATACCAGTAGACAAAGCACATATACAGCACCCTAAGAATAAGTGTCCATGATTGTGAATGAATGCTTTACTAACCATAGTATAAACTGGAAAATGTGTAAGCACTTGTAAAGGTAAAATCAACAGGTAGCTAAACGATTTTTGATATTATCTTAAATTTTCACTCTGTTTCTGATGGGGAGAGAGGAAGAGGTGGAAGGAGTGGGGACAGAGAGAAAAGAGGCAGGATGAGGAGCATTCCTCAGAGCTCAGAGCAGTGGGACTGGGCCAGGGCCAAGTCAGCAATTCCCTTCACGTAGCTCCTGTGTGGTGGCAGGAACCCAAGGACTGGAGCATCTTCCACTATTTCCCAGGGTGCACAGGAGCAGGAAACTGAAAGAAGCAAACTGGGACTGAGTCCCAACCCTCTGGTGTATGGTATGGGTATCCCAAGCAGTGACGTAAGCCACTGTGCCACGGTATCTGCCGCCGTTTGGCAGTCTGAACGTTTCCATTGCTAGTCCTTAGAAAGTGAAAACAGAGGAGTGGTATGATAGGACCAGCAACTCAGGCAGCAATTTGACATGCAGGAAAACCCTTTTGATAATGAGCTGTTGGGTACTTTGATGATCTTTCTCATGTAGTAAAATGTCTCCAATGAGATTTTCTTGATAAGGGCTTTTAATCCTATCATTAACTTTTAGAACTAACCGCCTACACATTAAAAATGGGATGGAAATCTTCATTTAAAATTAAAGTGATATCTAGAGATTTGAATCCATTCACTAGGTTTATGTCTTTCTGATGGGTTTTCCCTAAGTGGGATATAATTTATAATTAATTCCTCCCTGACAGCTGAAACAGAAGAATTTAGCACCAATCTTACCAGTAACCGCAGCACTGTGTGACTTCAGGAAGATCCTTCAGTGTCTCTGGGTTGATTTAAAAAAAATAAAAATCAGTGTGCCTAATTTAAAAAATTGCAGTATGTTTTATTTCCCAATTACAGGGCATTTTGAGGCTCTATGATGTAGTCTGTTAGGCCAAAAATGAAGTGGTTTTTCAGAACTTATGGCGTTGTAATTTTTAACACCTGGAGCACTATGCAGTTGATACCCAAAGAAAATCATGGCACATCAAGCCCTTCTGTTTTTCTATCTTTTTTGTTCTTTTAAATTTAAAAATTAGTCATAGTTCATCATCAGTACAGGTTTCTGCAGTGGTGTGTACAACGTGCCATCCCTAAGTAGTAGCTTTTCATTTCTGTTTAGAAATCTGTGTCCCGTCAAGCATATAATTAATGGTATTTATTAAATCATATGACTACAGAGGATCAACAATCTGTGCTGTTAGCATGCTGATGCAGAGGCAGACCTTGCGTTTCTTGTGAACTCTCCTTCCATGCCACATCCTCTCTTTCGCCACGTAATTATCAGTCTCCCTAGCAACGCTGTCGCTTTGCAGTGAGATGACGAGACTACTAATTCTGAGACCGACCTGCACCGCTGGTGCCACGGAGGCCAAATCAGTTAGCTGAGACATTAGTCACACACACATGCAGAGACACTGTCCCCTTTCTGTATTTGAGGACTGTGGGTGATGAATCTGTTTGAATTTCAATTGCCTGATGACATGAAATAAAATGGTTCGGTCTGTCTCTAGATAGAATGCTCTGGAAAGCACTTTTCTAAATTGATCCTTTGCTTCTGTTGCTAAGGAACACTGAAGTGTCAGAGGTTCAGAAAGGGGAGTGAGGAAGGCAGTAGGACCGGCACTGGCTGCTGCGTATCACCCAAGGAGTCACACCATCTCTCAGCCACAGTGCAGGCCCAGCCTTTGCAGTCAGTGGCCAGCCAGCCTTGGGTTTCAGTCACTCCTCACAGTCCTCCCCTGGAATGTCCAACCCTGATTGGTTTCCGGAGCATTGCAGTGTGAGGATGAGGGTTTGAGGATGCTTTTAGACCTTGAGGCAGGTCATGGGGCAAAAGACTGTTCAAGTGTAGGTCAACGCAAAACTGAATCCGAATGAAGGAGCAAAGAGAACAGGGAGGAAGGGGGAAGGTTGTGTGAGTAGCCACTTCTTCAGGGGCCATGTGTGTTTCTGACACAGAGCTTCCTGCCTGGCGCTGCACCAATCACATGATTCTCATTATTGAGTTATTGCAAAGTTCTTGAAGGATAAAAAGAATCTTCAAATGAAGCAAATTATTTATCACAGGTAAAATTATATTTGAGCACTATTTATGAGTAAACCAATGTGAGCATCAAGAGTTTGTAAAACATTTTATATATATACATACACATTTCATATATATGTAATACTTATTATACATATAATATATATATACAAGTTTATAGACTCTGAGACTTTTTTTTTATTCTTCCATAGGCAAATGCAACTTATTTTCAGCTAAGAGCCATGGTGAATCCTTTCACACCAAGATACTGATCAAATAGTGTTCTTTGTATGTTTCAGCAGAGGAGAAAGGATGTTTTGTGATCTCTGTAAGAGTTCTCTCTACCAGCCCATCAACTTGGAAGACTCTGAAATGTCTTAGGCTGCCCAGCTGTTGGGCAGGGTTAGAGTCAGGGCAGAAGAATTTGAGGGAGGTTGACAGGTTGCAATCTTTGGTTGTATTTCCTCCATCTGAGCACCTTAGAGATCCCAGACTCCTTAAAAATAATGCTGCTTCAACTGTCTCAAATAGTATTTAGTTATGCAAATTAAATAGAAAGACTAGGACCCATCGTGGAAGTTACCTAGGAAGTCAGATTCTGACAGTTCCACTGTGTAGTCAGGAGTAATACACATCCTTAAACACTGATTTGAAACACCAAGAACCTACTTCCAGGCATGTCCTAAGTTGCAAATTGACTTAGAAGTCTCTGAGTGCCTGACAGATGGGCAGAAAGCACTAGGTACTGCCCGGTGAATGACAGGATACATTTAATTTGCAAGGTTCGCGGCCAAGCGTGAGGAAGCGGACCTGAAAGCACTAGGTAAGTATCTTATGAAGTGAGACGATGTTCAGAGAAAAATCGAATAATTTTTTTTTGATTCATAAAGCAAAGGGCTCTTTGAAGTGGCGTAGTGAAAGTGGGCTTTCACTACCTGAAGAAGAGGTGCATGGGGTTTTGTAAGCTTGCGACCCATTAGCAGTTTCTGAGGTGTGACAGAACCTAGTCACTTGTAGATTTGTAAGTGTAGCTCGAGGCTGTGAAGTTTGAATATCACCACTGAGCACCCCTTCATCCTCGCCACTCCCCTCCCACTCATCCAATGGGTGGCTAGTTAGTTAACTCAACGGGCTCTTTACAGAGGTGTGACTGTGGAGGGCTACTATCTACTTACTATTCCTTCAGTCTAATGATAACTGAGCAAGATGAAAAAGATTTAGACAGCAAGATCAAGGATGGTAGGATAGTCTAGGCTTTCAGAATAGGTTGTTGCTTGAATTAGCTACTCAACACTCAATCTTAGGGTGCCTTAAAGTAGAAATACTACTTAGCTGCTTTCAGGCTAAGTTTAAAATATCCCAGAGGGATAAACATAAGATACTAACACCTTCTTCCCCTTTCACTTTTCCCACGGAGTGGCTGGCCATTGCAGTAAGACACAAGGGTCCCCCAAAATGGCTTCTGCACCTGGACCTTGACACCAGTACACTTGGCCCCAAATACAGAACTGTCGGACATGTCAGAGAATGTCCAGATTTATTCAAGCCAGTCAATTGCCAGGTCCTCAGCGCTCAACCACTTAGTATTTGCTTTTTGTAACCAGGTGTTAGCAACTTGGTTTGCTCTGAATTGAACAACTTCTCTGAAATTTACCCAATATAAACAACATGTCTATCAGAAAGGACAAGAGGAAATAATTAACTGCTGTTAATGGTGTATGCCTTTTCTACCCCCACACCCTGTGTTTTCATTCAACCTTCCTTCCTTTTTTCTCTTCTCTCCTCCCCTCTCTTCCCCTCTCCTCCAGTCTCCCTTCTTCCCTTTGCTTCTCCCCTCTTTTCGTCTGCTCTCATCTTTTCCTGTTACAGAGTAGTGGGAGAGACAAAGATCTTCCATCTTCTTGTTCACTCCCCTAAACAGGAGCAGCTGCCAAGAACTCCATCCTGGTTTCACATATGGATATCAGGAGGCCAAGAACTGGGAACATCTTACGCTGCTCTGGCAGGCATATTAGCAGGAAGGTGGATATAAAGCAGAGTGGCTGAGACTCAAACCCAAGCTCCATTAGGGGGTGTCAGCATCACAAGCTGTGGCTTAACTCACTAGACCCCAACACTAGTCTCCCATGTGCTTAAATTCTTATCATTCACTCATTCGTCCCCTGTCTACAGGTAAATTGGATAGAAACCTCACACAGAAATATCGGATGAGTTGAACATAGCAAAATAAGAGTGAGCTTGAGTTTCCAGTGGAACCTCAAATGATGCTAAGAGTACATTCTAACTTGGCCCTCTCCCCAAAGCTGGGTCCCCAGTTTGCTCCTAAGCTTTCTGCTTTCCTCGGGCAACAAGAAACCCTTGACCATTACGTTGTTCACAGTATTCATAAGAAAAAGGACAGACCATTTGCTCATGAGAGTATA